CGGGCTGAGGGATGTGCTGGCCGCAGCTTCCCGCCGCCCCCATTGGCCCGGGATGGCGAACCATGGCCAGTGGGGGCCGCGATCGGCCGAACCTGCCGCATCAGCAGGTAAATAAACTGGCCCGGCCCGCTAGGGTTCTTACCCTGCCGAGCCGCGTGCCGAACGTTGCTCACCCCTGTCCTAGCTAGTCATATTCAGAAAGTGTGGAAAGGCCTCTATTTGTCCATGTTTATCTATAAATGCTGGGTCCATTTACCCTGTCACCTGATCTGCTGTTCTCATCTTTTTCATCTCTATCTTTTAGAATTCATGGCATAGAGGGGGATATTAGCTCTATGAATGGGATTTTTTTTGCCTCAGTGTAAGCCATGTTGCTATGCGAGGCACCATAAAAATGCCTTTAATAAATAAATAAATAAATAAGCATTGTGTGAAAAACTGTTTAGACAGATTTTGCCAAGATGGCTCCAGCCAAACACTGTTAGTCATTAATTTTTCCTTCTCTCTCTCTTTGTGGGCACATTTCCTGTAAAACTTTTCCCTCTCCGTTACATATGTTTTATTCATTGTAAGATATTTGCCTATATTTGTACAATAAATTAGCATGTATTTATATGAAAAAGGATGTCAGTTCATGTTTTTGTTAGTTAATAACAAGGTACCACACATGGAAAAAACAACAAATGAAAACCATCAAGAACATTTACTTGTCCTTTTTAGACACAGGTCTTTTTTCCTCTAAGACACCCTTAAAGCCCTGAGGATCCCTGCTATGTTCACCTAATTATTCCATCACTTCTTAGCTCTTGGATTAGCTGGCCCTCCAGTCAAGGAGCATCAGGCATGGTTCCATCTTTAGCTTGTTATAGCCACTCATGAATAACTTATATGCATCATTGTAGAAGACTCACTTTCCCCTTCATCGTCTCCCAATGATGAATACATTGCCTCTGAAGAAATCCCAGCCTTTCTCAACCAGGAGCAAAGAAATAAGGTCAGGTTGTAAGCTCATATCTCCCATGTGGTAGGGCGCTGTGCTACTGCTGACTGGCCCTGTTTGGTGCATTTAATGTGTTCATGGTTAAAAGCAAGTTGGTTTTTTAAAATGATGATTGAAACACATTTACACTGTTTTATTCAATATCATTTCTGGATCAATCCTGCCAACATAACATTGAGTTTATGGAATTGATAATGTGTTTTCTTTTTAAATCTTCAATTCAATTTAATATATGTATAATTTCTCTGTTTTATTAGCTAAACACATGTTTAAAAGAGCAGATTATTTTTAGTATACTTAGATGTTTTTCTGCAAGCATGTCATGAAAGAAAGTGCTCTTAAAGGGACAGGAATTAATAAATGGGCAATCTCAACAGATTTGGAGATCAGGTTTGGTTTGGATAAGCAGCCAACAGTTCGAGTGCTGATCTGAAACTTAACCAAACTATCCAAATGATTTGCAAAATTTGATTTAAAAGGTTGTGAGAACAGGCTCTCTCACTGTAGTCTCGGTTTTCTGGTTCCAATCCCAATCCCAGTGCATCCGTGTATGAAAAATAATGGAGAACTAAAAGCTAACCTAATATTGCAGAGCCTCCAAAGAGGTTTGATTCTTTGGTTTTAGGAGGACACAATAAGAAGAGGGCGGTGGGGTTCTTTTTTAAACTTCAGACTGGTTTTCCTGTCCTTAGCAGGGATGTCATATTTAAGAAAACATAGATTCTTCAAGACTGGTTTTTCATTTGCTATCTCAGAAATTGTACTTTTAATTACTCTTTCTCCTTTCACTTCCATTAATTTTAGTACTATGAATCTTAGGGCTCCCCAATTGATTAGTATTTGCTGTATTAAACTCTATACCATCCTGTCCTGAAGTACAAGCTTTTGCTGCATTTGAAATGTGAAAGAAGTGATCCCTGTTTAGGGATTAAAACAACAAGGAGTCTGGTGGCACCTTAAAGACTAACAGATTTATTTGGGCATAAGCTTTCATGGGTAAAAAACCTACTTCTTTAGATGTTTAGGGATTACTAACCCTTGCTCAGCTGTTCCAGCCATTTCAATACAGCCTTTACATCCAGATTTTCTTGTTTATCTGGCAGTTCATTATTTAAGGCTGGCCTGTCAAAAATAGGTTAAATATTCTTTGGGAAACACGGTCACATCTTTGAGACACCACAAATATGTTTAATATAAAAAGATTGGCTTGATAAGGGGAACATGATAAACTTGCATCACCAAAAATATTTCTCTGTTATTCCGTTTGTATTTCTAAGGGCATCAATAAACAGTGACAAATCTCATGGCAATAAATTTCTGGAACAGGCACCCAGAGACACTGGAAAGCAGTGAAAATGATTGCTGATGATTCGTTCTAACTCCTTGACCTTCTGACCTCTTCTCCAGATATATGACCAAGATGGGACACTACAGCACTTTATTGATGGCGGGGAACCCAGTAAGTCAAGTTGGATGAGGTATATCCGATGTGCAAGGCACTGTGGGGAACAGAACCTAACAGTAGTTCAGTACAGGTAAAGTATGTCTTGATTTATTCGCTGCAAGAAAAAAATCCTTGAAGTGAAAAGTCAGAATTGTAATTATCACCAGTTCACAAACAGTTGTTGGGTTTTCTTGGATGGCTTCATTTTGTACAGTACAAACTTGGTAGTATGGATTTAAGAGCTCTTAAGTTTGGTTGTCAAAAACTGAGGAGGGGGACATCATTGAGAGCACATACTACAGGGTTGATTCTGATCTCACTGATGTTCCTGATGATTTAAACCCTCTGTCATTAGAAGAGGAACATGTATGCAGATCACATTGTACAAAGCAATCTGCACATCCTTTAAGTAGTCTCAGTAGACTGCTCTGGAAAGAGTAGTTTGCTTGAAGAGTTGTCCCTCTCTTACAATAAATAATTATGTTAGGGGAGAAGGACAAGGAGAAGGCTGCATTTGAAATGAAAACATCAGACTTCAGTGTTCAAAATTCTGTTTGGGGAGCATCATTGGGCATTTATGACCCAAATATGCATCTGCTGAATGCACCTGTCAGCCAAGATGGTCTTGTGGCCTATGCCTATGATGTCAATAGCAAGTGAAGGTTATAACAAAATAAAAATGAGAATGTAAAAAAGAATGTGTAAAGAAATTATGGCTCCCATTTCTCCCCCTACAAACAATAGCAAAAAACCTAGAAAATGTGTTACATAAATATATGATCTCAGCCATAAACAAATCTTTCCCCTTCAGAATCAGAAGCGACTGTTTGGCTTTATTAAATGTTATAGCAAGTACATCAAAGAATGTTTGGGAACTAAGCTGAGCACTCCTGCTGTTGGCTATTTATTTTGGGTTTTCTTTTTTTTAATGACAGGTCTTAAACTTATTTATAATATTTTAACTATTTTAACAAATGTGAATGCAAACAAAAATGAAAAATACACACAGTTTGATGATTTTCTTTTAGGGTGCCAGTTTAACAATGATAAAATGGCCCAATAGCATTTTTCAACTTTGTTTCTGGCCCCTTGTCAAAACAAAGTAACAATTCAAAGAAGAATATATGACAGTGTTTTATTATATTATTACAAACTTTTATTGTAGTCTTAAATATTTATATTTTTAGCTATAATTCTGATGGTTCATTTTTTAAATGGTCTGTTTAAACTAAGGTTGTCTCTGTGATGTAAAGAGCACTTTTGGTTGGTAGTCCACATATGTTATGAACCACTGAGACAACCATGTTTGAGTATGTGAAGTATGTGTAGAGTGTGTGTATGTATACAAACATATAGATGAAAAACAAATGAAATATGGGCATGAGAAAGTCGTTACACATCTGTCAATATTAAGTACATTTTACAACTCTGCTTTCATGATGGAGCTTTTACTTAGAGTTCCCTCTGTTGATCTGTTTTTGATTACTTCAGATCTTTGTAAAATGAACTACAAAAACACAATTTAAAAAACTGGCATCCATCACCAGTGACTGAATCCAAGTGTAAGAAAATAGAAAAGTTGGACACTGAAAAACCGGTCTAATTTTTATTGTACATGGACGTCCTCCTCACAGAAAGTCAGCTGGTTTAAATTCATTCTGTTATGATTTGTAATATCTAAATGGAATTTTCTTCAAAGCGCTCTTGATTGATTGACCCTTAGCTGAACGTTTTGTTTTTATTTTGAGGCTGACAATAATGTTTGTTGGCATGTGTTCTGCTTCAACTGCGTTGGGACGCCATGAAGCTATCTTTATGAGTCATCCAACCACAATACTAAATACATGTCAGCAAAGGAAATATTATCCGAAAAGGGAAAAATCCCTTTGATGTACTTCAGCATGCAGAGATTTCTGCGAGTTTTGGAAGCTCTGTACGCTTGTAAGGAACGGTGTACGCTTACACATTTTTTTTCGGCCTACTCCAAGCTTCACAGACCACCCATTGCTCAAAAACAGTTCTGCTCTTTCAGCGGCAAAGTGTGTCATTTGGTTTTAGCACATTCATTTGCCGGGCTGGTGTGTTTATATTAAGGGAAGCCAAACTGAGAGATGAAATGTTACAAGGGTGAAGTACAAAGTAGACTCGATTTTTCTCAAGTTAGGAGATGCTGGTGATTTATAGCATGGCTCCAATTTTGATTTTTATGTAATGTTGGAAAGAATTAATAACATGTACAGCTTTGGGAGAGAGAGAGAGAATGAGCGAGAGAAAGGAGCAGAGCAAGAGAGTGAGAGAGAATGAGCAAGAGAGACACGAAGGCAAGAGTTTTTGTCAGATATTCATAGAATGTTGGGAAAAACATTCTGCTTAGCTAGCAGTGCCCTCCTGAGACAGGGTGGCAGTAAGCGAGAAAATAACAAGATAAATGAAATTTTTGCAGCTGCTAGTAAAATATTGAGAATCTGCACTTTTTTATTGATCTTTATGATCCTGTTGCCAAGAGCCACTTTGCGGTGACAAAATATGTTGACAAGTGCATATCTCACTGCCATGAAAAATGTGGTGAAGGATTCTCCTTATGTCTGCAGTGTTATACAAGGAACAAATTGCACTGCTACGGCAAATTCTTTACAGAAAGGCTAAATTTAAGGCCTACCAACCCTAAACGCTTTTATCTTGAACTTCAGGCTAATATTTGTAGCAATTTTTCACTGAGAAAACCAGTTGAGGTCTAACATTTATTTTTTTAGTCTATAGATATTTTTCTGCCTTACGCAAGCTGTTTTAAAAAATGGTCCTTTCTTGGTACCTTGACTGTATCATTTTGGTGTGTAATCGTTCAGGCAGAGTGGAATGCTCTTCTTGTATGTATTGAATTTCTATCCATCTCATATAAGAGCGTTTTACTGTACTGTACCAGGCTTAAGCAAAAAGCTACTACAAACCAATAAGATTTTCAGTTCCTCTTCTAGATGCTTGATTCGATCTCACACCGATTTTGCACCTAACTCTAACTTCATTGGAATTACTCGAGTTCTTTAACTCAAAGTGAGATCGGAATAGAACTTACAGAAGGATTCTCAGTTATGGTAAATACTAAATTATACTTACCTGAGGGGCCATCAACCTTGTTCCCATGTTTCATATTGAGAAAGATTTCCTCAGTAACTCTTCTTCATTACAAGTCCTGTTTTCTGGACTCTTCTGGGCCAAAAGTCCATATTATTCAACCTTAGTTCTCTCTCTTTTGGGAGGTATATTTCTATTGTGAGACTGAAGGAAATATAAGAGGGCACACGTTAAAAATCATCTTCTGTATTTAAAAAATTCTTCACTTTGTTACTAACAGCACTTACTAAATCTAAAAGAATTATTATCTATTTACTTTTTACCATCTAAACTGTGTGTTTGAAGTTTCCCTCAGTTTGGATAGTGAAAAGAAACTGATCTGTTTTGAGTCGGTCCCATTTCCTGGATCTTGTGCACTGGTGCAATGCTGCCGTGTTTGCATTCCAAATTCTGCACTGGAATGTTTTTGAAACAAAAAAACCTGTCTGCCTTAAACTTTCTTTCAAAAAGGATACTGCAACAACAATAGCTTATTATGTTTTGTAAAACATTTTCTTAGGTCTTAAACTACCTTAGTTACAAAGTAGCTTTAAGCTGTTTGTTATCCTGTTTTACAAGCACTAATTGGAGTCCCACATTGATGAGATGGATTCAGGTTTACTATAATCAATGAGCTATTCTTTTGGGATAACTTGCAGAAATTCTTCCAAAACGGTGGAATTCCATCATAATAGTGCATATGGTAAAAGGAGCGCTACCTGTTCCTAAACTGGGCTATTTTTCTGTTTGTTATGACTAGGTCAAATATATTCTACAGAGCCTGTATAGATATCCCCAGAGGCACCGAACTGCTGGTGTGGTACAATGACAGCTACACATCTTTCTTTGGAATCCCTTTACAGTGTATTGCACAGGATGAAAACTGTAAGTATTTTATTTCTAACTATATGTCCACAATGCATATTTCACAATTAATCTGTTTTGTTCCTTGTGTTTCTTAAGAAGTATGAAGTAAACCCTGGATATTTATTTAAGGTAAGTTGGACGATTACAAAGGCCCTGATTCTGAAAATCCTTAAGATATATGATGTCTGTGGAACGACTTATATGATTAAAATGCACATACCTACAGGTGGGCAGGACTGAGACCTAAATTGCAGGTTCCCCCCCATGGCATAGGTTTATTCTCTATTTACTTCCCCAACCCTCTCTCTAGTTGCCAGTTCTATAATAGGATTTTCTGTCTTGCCAAAAAGATAACATAATGTGATCTTTCCAGTCACTGTCAATGCTGCTTCATCATATTAGTGTGGGATGTGTTGATGGAGGCCCAGGCTGGCTGTCCATAGAGATGAGGTCCTTGTGGTTAGAGAAAATGCTAGTTCCTTTAAATAAAGGCTAATTACAAATAACCTAATATGATGATGGAGCCCCCATCCTGTCACAACTATCCCCAATTCCATTCATTCGTCTCCCCGGCCATTTGATTTTACTGTGAATTTTAAAAAAGCAAATCATTTATATCACAGACCCAGTCATGCAAGGTGTGTGTTCTTGTCTTCAGTGGGAATTAAGGGTGCTCAGCACCTCCTGGTATTTTTGTGTGCATCTCTCTCAACCTTCTTTCAGCTTGCATCAGGGAACTCTTTTCCATTGTGACAGCCATGTGTGTCTATGTGGTGGAAGAAGCAAATAATAACAGCTTGAATGACTTTGGCCAAAAATGACCCTGTGGCTGCCAGCGCATAATCAACTATATATTATATTTTTTCAGTCAAATACTTGGATACTTAAACAGCTATACTGAGATGAACTTGGGTCTCTTAGCAACTTAAATACTGAACCAGGCAGCAATAAAACAGCAAGATACCAAGGATTAAACTGTCAAAAATAAACATCCTTTTTCATCTTGAGTTTTCAAATCTCTTATACTTGAGAGGAGTTTTAAAGACATTAAATTACTGGCCATAATGTTTAGCACTAAAAAAAATCATCTGCTCCAGTGGGTAATACAGAAATATTATTTTCATTTCTGTGAGTTGTACTTTACAAAATCATTTTTTTAAACGATACAGTGAACAAAATCCCATCACAGTTAAATCTTTAAATATTGTCACTTACTGCTTCGCTACAAGGGAAACCAAGGAGTTTCATCCACAAGCTAGGGAGATCGACAGAAAGGGAAAAATTCATCTCTGGGCAGAGGCCCAGCACCAGGCCTATGCATAACCTAAGTGCCACTTAAACCCTCAAAATAGCCCTTGTGCTGTTCCTCTGCACAAGGGTGAATTTCACCCACAATGAACTGTGACAATATTACTTAGCTCTTAAACCTCATTATTTGAGTCTCTTGATGGAGGTTTTATGCTTACAATTTTTTTTTAAATTAAGTCTCCCTTATGTGACAGAGAAACTTAAAACAGAGTTATGAAAAGAAAAGTTTACATATGACAGGCTCTACTGCACATGTTTTTCCATACACCTAAAATGTTTGGATGTGTTTTAAAAACTGTACTGCAGACGCAATGCACATCCTACTGGAGGTAACACTACTCATAAAATAGGCCCTCAGATTGTACAGTGAAGAGCAACATAGAAAGGACTAGACATAAATAAATTAAATAACATGGATTACCATGTTTGTTTTGGTTGAGGAAACATTAAAAAAATAATTTTGTAAAGGAACTTTGTATTATTTACAGTACCATATCAAAATGGGTTTGTACTGCATTTTTTTATTTCAGTATTTTTAATTTCAGTAGCTATTCAGACATTAGTCACAATTATTCATTAAATAGACCATTTGAAACTGCTACTGTATCTCAACTAGACATACTTGTATTCAGAAGGTAAGTGTGTGTGTGTGTGTGTGTGTGTGTGTGTGTGAGAGAGAGAGAGAGAGAGAGAGAGAAGAAAACTACCCAAAGTAGGTAACTAATTAAAAGAATAGTTA